TACTCAATAACAGAATGCAAACTTGAAAAAACGGGTAAATGACAATTTTGTAGGTAGAAAAACAAAACTTTGGAAAACCTTTTATATATGCGGGCACAACTTTATAGGAATGATATGACTTTTTAGGAAAAATTCATGTTGAGAGAGGGGGGATGAAATTGACGTTTATGAGATGGTCTAGCAATTGGTTGTAGATTAACGTCTCGAGGATTTTAGTCACTGCTGGTGCTCAGTGAACACGACGATGGTTTTAGGTATGACATCGATCGCCGCCTTTAAAGATAGGTGCACTGATCGAGTACTTCCAGAAGTCCGGAAAATTGTACTTGAAAGGAAAGGGTGAATAACTGAGATAGGAGAATTGAACTTTCCGGAATTTTGGGGAGGTTCACCTTTGTTACTTGCGTAAACGCACATGTGTCCATGCCATGTTTATGGGGGTGGCATTTGGTATTCGATTAATAAAACTGCTCCAACCGCTGCACTTAAGCTGACGAACATAATCAAAAATAAGCTGTAATTTGATAGCATATACGTTATTAAGAGGGAAGTATTTATTGCTTTTTGTTGGCAGCAAAGTCAATGAGAGACGGAGGGGTTGTTAGGCTGTTTCCGTTTTCATCCCTTGCGGTGTTATGAAACTGGTCCGCATTGCAGTAAGGCTTTTCCAGTACGCAGATGTTGTCGCGCACGATGCTTTTCTGTTACACTAAAATACGCCTCGCTGTGTCCTAAAATCTCGGCCTCACAAATTATACTAGTTGCAATTCTAAAATGCGAACACACCTAATTGGTCAGCCATCTGCAAGTCCTAATAAGATGTACTCTCACGTGAGGCACTGCGGCGCATAATTCGCCCGTCTCTTTGCACCAGGCGTGTCCTTGTCCGGCTGTCAACTCTCTCCCGTCCCTTCTTTAGTTATTCTTTGCATAAAAGATTATTCACGCAAATGGGGTCCAGCTTTATTTTGTATACGAGAACGAGCCTGTAGGTGGCAGTGACTAGGTACTCACTATGTCTTGAGCTGGTGCGAGAGCACATGACACCAGACTATTCGGAGGATGGAGCTAGGATGCGGACTGAACATATGACCAAGTTTAGAGTAAAGATTAGTTAATCGCTGAGTCTAGAGTCGGTATTAAACTGAGATTAAGGTTGAGGAGACCCAACACCGGCCACAAACAAAAGCTCAACAGGTGGGTAGAAACTTGGCTTTAATCATACCCCGCACCCGCGGGACGCATACATCTTGTCGACTGAATACATGAAGCTCTAGTGTAACGACTAATGAGGGCTCCAAATTAT